TGGAGCTACTGCCCAAGAAACATAGTTTGAAGTTAAAGCCTAACCAAAAACGTTAACTGCTAAAACAACCACCCATTGAAGAAAAACAACCAAACCCAGAATCTCTACTAATCTTCATAATGTCCAGGGTACAATCCCAAATTACCCAGCATACATACGAATGAACCAAGAAATATAAACATTTTTCCCCTCCACAGCCAGAAACAGCTATTCTCACTAGCCTCAATGATGTAAAAAATAAATAAATTTCCTCTTAGTGAATTAAAATCTTATCACAGAAATAAAAAATCCCAGCAGAGAAATAGAAACAATAAAAAAGTGCTAACTGATTCAGCAATAGAACATCAGTCAGTGGGTGAAAGACCATTGGATACACATAGTCTCAAAGTTATCATTTCAGAGATTACTTAAGAATTGCAAACAAAAAAAGGTGCCTTTAAAATGGAGAAATTTGGTGGACAACATCTAAACCAAGTGATGGAACCCAGCATCACCAGTAAAGAGACAAACAGGGATGTGGCACAATGTATTATTATTATACTCTTTACAATTACAATTTTTTGTAATTACAGAAAAAATACAATTTTTCTATAGGTTTGAAATATTTTCCAAAAAATTGGAGGAAAACACGAAACAAAAGAAAAAAAGGCAAAAGGAAGACCATTATAAATCAGAGAGGGAAGAATTAAAGCAGCTGGCCTGGGATCCATTTACTACCTTTACCAGGTGGCAAGTCAGGGAAAAGTAGATGATGGAGTTTAATCTACTTCTTAATAGGCTGATAACTGGTCCTCCCAGTAAATAGGCTAATGATTTTTCTTAGGAGGAAAGTCCTTATCTGAAGAATACTCTTAGCAGGATGTCCCTTGTTAAGGAGGCTTACAGTAAACGAACCCACGACCTATGGATTTATGAGGCATGGCACACTGGAGAATATCACGTAAGCTACACAACCTTGCAGTACAGAGCGGAGAAGTTTCGAAATCTAAATGCTCTCTGCTATGAGGTAATAACTAGACTTCCTCATTTACAGACTCATCTACTCTGGGCCAGTGCATGTTTGATGTAGAAAGGAAGTACCTGTGGAATCACGCAGTGTCCCAGATCGCTCCTTGTTTTACCTGTGCCTTCTGACTCCATGTATCCTTGAAACTATTAGTAAAACTGGATTCTAGGGAATATCTCTGATAAGTGAATCTGATTTGATAATATGATTCTTTGTATTGGCTTACAAATAAAAGACGAGACTGTCAAAAATAATTATAATCTTAGATTAACAATACTATTAATATTATTACTTTAGTAGATTGAGTTAAATGTTAATTTGACACAAATAATTAACACAGTATACTTACAGGATAAATGAGGCATCTTTTACCCTATGGGGAATTTCCCTATGGAGAATTTCTTTTTAAGCATTCATAGGAAAAAACTTACCAAAATTACAGTATGTGAAATTACAGAGAAAAATCTCAATGAATTTTTAAAAAAGCATATATCACCAGAACTGTCACAAAATTCTAATTAATATATGAATATATATGATGATAAACCTGTAATCCAAGGGGTGTGTGCATCCTAGAACACTTCTAAACACGCCCTTTGAACTAAGATTCTGCCCACTTTATAGAGTTGTGGTGAAGTTCAAATGATATGATATAGTTATTATACTATTTTGATGATGTATTATTTTACTTGGTTTTACATAATACCTCTACAGATCATAATCTACATCATTTTTCCTATTTGTGATCCACTAATGACAACCACTTAGAAACAGGCCATGAAGGAGCATGAGACAAGGTGATCCTAACAGCTGATGCAAGCTCAAAGGATGCTTTCAATAATAGAAACTTGAACATGTAAAAATAGAAGAATGAAACAAAAGGAGAAAGAGTTTTAAAATAGAGAAGTAAAGGGTAGCAGGCAGAGAAGGTCTCACAGAAGAATACATAAGTTCTCATTTTATAGGAATATTCAGCACAGGGAAAAGTAATGGCCTCAGAACAGAGGAAGTAAAAAAAAGCAGATATAGGTAACAGTATGTTTAGCTGTGAGGAATTAAAGAATCTGAAAACATGTTGCCCATCTTTGGGCCTTTTTGTCATAGAGGGCAAGTATCATGTTAATCATATTATTTCATCCAAACTCTAGGAGAGTATAGTATAGTATATTTCAGAAGTTCTCATCTTACTGAAGCAGTACAGTAAAGTGGCTAACACTATTAGCCATATATTCAGTTATAAAGTCCAACACCTAACAACTATTTATCTTGGGCAAGTTGCTTAACTTACCTAAGCCTCAGTTTCCTATTCTGTAAGACAGGAATAAAGATAATACCTACTTCATGAGATAGTGACTAAAAACACACATTATAGAACCTGGTACAAAGTAAATATTCCATAAAAGCTAGTTATTACCCTTATTATTGAGAAAGGGATTTCTTGCATATTTTGATGAACTTCATTGTATGGCTTAATTTTACCATCTCTTTCTCTAGCCAAATAACTAAGGGATCAGTAAAAGTTGATAAGCTACTTTAATTTCCAAAAAAAAAGAAATTGTTTCAGAAGCCAGTATTTACGCTAGTATCAAAATTAAAAGTATGAATACTATTAAAAAAGGCAGCAAAGACTTCGTATTCAAACATTATACTCTATAAAATTAGAACGTATGATTTTATAGTATCATAAATCAGGTCAGTTTTTTTCTTGGCCAGAAAAAACAAACTCCCATTTCTAAAAATGTCTCAGGTTTTCTTCTTGAGGAAGTCATCTTGTAACAAAATACCCTGTTATCATAGAAAGCAAGTATAGAATAGTATGTCATGAACAAGACTATAAAAATGTAGTGGTATATGAGTCAGGAAAAAAATTCATCTGGAAAAATGAATAAGTAGAAGTTTTTCTCCAAATTTAAATTAATTTAATTTAAAGTAAGTTGTCTGTTTTGTGACTATTTCTTTGATACTCCCATATACATAAAAAATACTTCCTTAAGAAATTATAAATGACCTTTCAGTTTAAAAAAATGCTCTATATTATTTGCTTCTTATAGAAAAGTAGGCCAGTTTTGTAAAAGAACCATGAATGAGGAAAGCAATTTGACAAGTAAGAAAAGCAAACATATAGTCGTACTCTTTTTTCCCGTTCTTTATATTTAAATTTAATCCAGTTTTTAAAAAGCATTACAAAAGAAGCTAAAGTCAGGGCATCCAATCCAGACCACCCTAACCACTGCCACGAATTCAAGGACTATACATACTATTAATTTTGTGATTCAAGGACTATACAGGCTATGAATTTTAGCTTTCTGTGAGGCAACAATTCCACAGTGGTCTTATATAATCACAGGAAAAAACAGAAAATAAAACTATGGTTGTGACACAGTAATACTGTAAACCTATGAACTTTATCACTGAGTCTAATTTCTTATTGCTAATGAGGTTTAAGAATAACAGAAAACACGCTTCACATATAGTTCAAATAGGACAACTTTTCTTTCTAATTAACTAAATTAAATTCATTATTGAGATTTACAGAAGAAATGTCTTCTAAAGATTAGTGAATATCTTTTGTTCTTAAACTCGTCATACACTGTACATAGGCTTATTATATATAACGTAGTCGTTCCATGGTAAAAAAAATCAGCAACTATACAGTAGCTCAAAGCCTCTGAATAATTTAGGACTACAAAAATGACTATTCAGAAGAAATTACAGGGAAAAATTTAGGTAAGGAATGTAATTTAGTAAGGACCTTGGTTAAAAGAAAGTGAAAGAGACAAAGAGATAAACCATAACTTCCTATCTAAGTGTTATTCTTAAAACAAAAATCTTTAAAGATTTTGTTTTTCATGGGAACTTCACAAAAAAAAAAAAGGTGTATGAAAAAGCCTAAATGATGTGTAAACAAAAGTGACACAAATGATAATCAGGAGCCAAATACAGAGTATTTTGACTGAATGATTGGATAAAAAGATGATTAAAACTTTGAGAAAGAAAAGATATATCATATAGATTCTATGAATTTTGCAATCCTATGGAAAAAATACCCCACAAAAAATAAACCTCACACCAAAAAAGAATCACGTCCTACATTTGTTTCTATTCAGATTAATTATGATACCTTTGTCCTATAAAACACTTTACTATTCCTTCAAAAGGAAAAAATGGTGAGAAACTTTGATAATCTAACTGAATTAAAATTTGTTAGAGAATTCTCTTGCTCCTTTATCTATCTCAAAACTTGGAAGTTATACCAAAATGTAATAGCCAAACACACATGCAAAATGACCCTGAAATTAAGATAATTGCTGGTACCAAATGTTGTTTTTAAGTTCTGCAATAAAACAGTCTCCCAGACATTTAATAGTATGTCATTTGGTAAATGAAAGTTTCCACAAAGTAAGACCAGTGAGAAGACCTAAAAATTATGCTAGTGAAGAGTCTGGTTGAAAGAAACAAAAATTTCGATTATTTTAGTCCAACACTAATTTTATTTCAAGTTACTACAGAACTGAATAAAATGCTGACACCACCATACAAAAATTTATTGAGTTGGCAATAGGCAAAGCATGATGTCAGCCACCCAATATTGCCATTCACATTACCAAATGGCATGAACACTTTAATTCTTGAACTTAAATTCGACTTCATGCCTAAAGTTACAGTAAAAATAAAAACCTTAGGCATAAGGCATTATTAAACATAGATGAGTTAAGTTTGACTCATCTTAGTCTTGAGTTTTGACTCAAGTTTTGACTCAAATTAGTCTAGTACTTTAACAAATTCAGTAAAAAACAGGGAAAAACGCAAGCTTAAACATATTACAATTTTCTAAATGTGCAACATTCTTCATCAAATAGACCCATACAAATAAGTTTCAGTCACTTGCAATATTCAAATAAGTAACACCACACACACACACACACACACACACAACGCAGGTGGACAGGAGACACAGAAACACACACATATACACAAGCACACAAGTCTTTACCTTCATGGCATGGATTTCTTCAAGCAATCTTTGTGCTCGTCTTTGGTTTTTTAACAGTGCATCTTCATTGCCCCTGCAAAAAATACATTACCATATGTAACCAGGAAAAGCATTTATTTTAGACTCATATTATAATGAAAAGTCTCTTCATTTCTTTTGGAAAAGCATAATAAATCTCTAACAAACAATGTGTTGCCCTCCCCATCCCCACCCAACACATACCCAGATTCCATCAACAAACCCCAGTTTTTGGCAAAAATAAGCATAATCCTGGCATTATATTAATGACTATTACCACTGATAGACAGTTTGCCTTCTAATTGCTTAATTGGAAGGCCAAATAATACTTTTTAATCAATGAATTAATAGTACATTGTATTTAATGTAAAAGAAATTTTATAAGCTACAATTAAAGGTTGGATATAATTTTATTAAATAAAAATTTATTCCCTGAAATTAAAGAAATATATAAAGATATTAAATATCAGATTATATCAGAGGAGGGCTATCTTCTGAAACATTTATGAAAAAAAGAACAAGAAATTAATCAGGAACAAAACACATTTGAAGACTGTAAGCATTCATACTTAAAGCATAAGAACTACAAATAACATACTTTTTCTGTAATACTAGTCACACTGAAAATACAAAATATTATTTTTTAAAAAAAATTGGGATGGAACATTTCCAGAAGGTACTGATAATTTCAAATTAATTAGCAATTCAAGGAATAAAGTGATATAAAATCTTCATAATCGATTCAAGGTATTAGTAGATTTGTTAAACTATACAGGGCATACCTCGGAGATATTGTGGATTCAGTTCCAGATCACCGCAATAAAGCGAATATCGAAACAAAGCAAGACACGTGAAATTTTTGGTTTCCCAGTGCATATAAAAGTTAATGTTGGGGCCGGCCCCGTGGCTTAGCGGTTAAGTGCGTGCAATCCGCTGCTGGCGGCCCTGGGTTGGATCCCGGGCGTGCACCGACGCACCGCTTCTCCGGCCATGCTGAGGCCGCGTCCCACATACAGCAACTAGAAGGATGTGCGGCTATGACATACAACTATCTACTGGGGCTTTGGGGGAAAATAAATAAATAAATAAAAATTATTAAAGAAAAAAAAGTTAATGTTTACACTACACTGTAGTCTATTAAGTGTATGGTAGCATTATGTCCAAAAAAAACATGTACATAACTTAAGTAAAAAATACTTTATTGTTAAAAAATGCTAACCATCATCTGAGTAAAAATCGTAATCTTTTTGCTGGTAGAGAGTCTTATAAAAATGCAATATCTGCAAAGCACAATAAAGCGAAACACAGTAAGATGAGGTATGCCAGTTTCAAAATCATAAAATAACTTCTAACAACATAAAATGCATAAATAACCCCCAAGAACTTTCATTCTGAAAAGGCCAAAAGGAGAGTTTTGAAAAAACAGCAAAAGAACTCATCATGTATCTTAAGCGAATATGGTCCAAACTGTACAGGACAGGCTGACACAGCACATTTTATCTCACTCAGATCCTCTCTGAGGATATAAAACAAAGCACTGCATGTATGAGGAAGATATTTAATCATTCCTCTAGGTCCCACCCTCAAATTTTGTAAATATTGAACAAAAACAACTTTTGACATTTTATTAGTCACAGGACCATTACTTTAAATGACTAACTTTTTTGACTTCAGTCTGCCAACACTCCTGACAAGTTTTCGGATAACCAAAACTCGGATTCTCTTCACTTCTTTTCTCATCTTGACAACCTTTGAGGAATAAAGTCAAAATTAGAAAGGCTCTTAATTCAAGAAGAAACATACTTTATTTTGAGTTTTAATAACTATAGACTAAGTCTACTACTTTAATAAAATTTTTGTTTAATTATATTCATAGTTTGATGAAATCAAACTTCTTCGATATCAGTGAAGGAATCAATCAACATTCTAAAAATGTGTCTGAGGACTTAAGAGAAACAAGTTATGATTTTTTAAAAAGTCACAGCATTTCCAGTGATTAGTATTTTAATATTACACTTATATCTGGTTGGGCTTGGAACATAATAAACCGTGAGTTCCCTGAGATCAGAGACCATCATATTCATCTTTGTATCCTTGTAATTTAAAACAAAGCCTCATCCCTAATGGTAGGAATTAAATTTATCGAACGAGTGTTTATATTAACGAAAGCAAATGTGTGAAAGTGATTATATTTTAATTATTTATAGAAGACCCCTTGCATTTATTTTTAGTATTAAATTATTTCAAGCATAATTTTAAAAGAAACACCAAAAACACAATGGCACATTATGTGTACACATGCAGGCGCACACACACACACGCAGATACAAGCTTTAAATCATCCCAGTGGAGAACAATACTGAACTCTAAAAACAAAAAAATAGAACTACTGGCCAGGAGATGGAAATATTCTAATGATGAAGAACTACGTTATAACAGTACTTAGTACAATGGGATGCTATCATTTTATTTTTTTTTTATTGAGGTAACTGGTTTATAACATTATATAAATTTCAGGTGCACATCATATTTTGGCTTCTATTTAGACTACATCGTGTTCACCACCAAGACTCTAGTTTCCATCCATCACCTTACAAATGACTCCCTTTACCCCTTTCACCTGCCGCCTACCTCCCTTCCCCTGGGGTAACCACCAGTCTGTTCTCTGTATCTATGTTTGTTTTTTTTTTGTTGTTGTTATCTTTCACGTATGAGTGAAATCATATGGTATCTGGCTTTCTCTGTCTGACTTGCTTCGCTTAGCATAATACTCTCAAGATCTATCCATGTTGTCACATATGGCAAGATTTCATCTTTTTTTACGGCTGAGCAGTATTCCATTGTATATATACACATCTTTATCTATTCATCTGTCAGTAGGCACTTAGGTTGTTTCCAAGTCTTGGCTATTGTGAACAAAGCTGCAATGAACACAGGGGTACACATATTTTCGAATTAGTGCTTTCGTGTTCTTTGGATAAATATCCAGGAGTGGAATAGCTGGATCATATGGTAGTTCTAGTCTTAATTTTTTGAGGAATCTCCATACCGTTTTCCACAGTGGCTATACCAATTTACATTCCTACCAGCAGTGTATGAGGGTTCCCTTTTCTCCACATCCTCCCCAACACTTATTTCTTGTCTTTTTAATGATAGCCATTCTGACAGGCGTGAGGTGATATTTCACTGCGGTTTTGATTTGCATTTCCCTAATAATTAGTGAACTAATTAGCTTTTCATGTGCCTGTTGGCCACCTGTTTATCTTCTTGGGAAAAATGTTCAGATCCTCTGTCCATTTAACAGGCTTGTTTTTTTGTTGTTAAGTTGTATGAATTCTTCACATATTTGGGTATTAACTTTTTATCAGATATATGATTTGCATATATTTCCTCCCAATCAGGAGGTTGTCTTTTCATTTTGTCGATGACTTCCTTTGCTGTGCCAAAGCTTTTGTTTGATGTAGTCTCATTTGTTTATTTTTTCTGTTTCTCTTGCCTAAGAAGACATATCCAAAAACATGCTGCTAAGACCAATGTGAAAGGGTGTACTGCCTATGTTTTCATCCAGTTTTATGGTTTGATTCTTACATTCAAGTCTGTAGTCCATTTTGAGTTAATTTTGAGTATGGTGAAGACAGTGGTCTACTTTCATTCTTCAGCATGTAGCTCCAGTTTTCTCAACACCATTTACTGAAGAGACTTTCCTTTCTCCATTGAATTTCTTGGTTCCTTTGTTGGAAATTAGCTGTCCATAAATGTGTGGGTATATTTCTGGGCTCTCAGTTCTGTTTCACCGACCTGTGTGTCTGTTCTTCTGCCAGTACCGTGCTGTTTGGATTACTATAGCTTTGTAGTATACTTTGATATCAAGGAGTGTGATACCTCCAGCTTTGTTCTTTTTTCTCAGAACTGCTTTGGCTATGCGAGGTCCTTTGCTGTTCCACATAAATTTTATGAAGTTTGAAGATTAAAGGCCTTTCTTTTGTTTTTCAGTGGGTGGCACTATAGCGCTAGCTTTTGGTTTCTCTTACCTGAGCTGCCTCTGGCTATATTTGAGGGTCTGCACATTCTACTTTCCATCACGTCTCATCACTGTCACCTGTGCCTCTGGGGATCACTGACGCTTTGCTGTTGTTGGAGTCTCTGCAGTTTCTGGCTTTGCCGCCGGGCCCACAGGAATGGCTAACGCCTCCAGTGTCCAGAATCACCTGGGTCAGAAGCTCCACTGCTGTGGTGGCGGGAAGGAGCTGGGTGGGGAGGGCGCCAGGGTCACAGGGCACTGCCTCTGCTGTTGCCCGTTACCCTGTGGTCACAGGCGCTGCTGTGGTTGGAATGTTAAGAGTTCCGTGCATGTCTCTGCTGCTGCTAACAGGCTCTGAGCTGTGGCCACGGGGCTCCACTTCCACTGCTGCTCTGCTCCCTGTGGCTGCAGGTGCTGCTCCGGCTGGGTGGCTGGCTGGAGTTGCACACACACACAAAGTCAGCTGCTGCACACTGGGTTCTCTGAGGCTGGGGCGGCTGGGTCAGCCACTGCAGCCTGGGGTTCAGGGTCCTGGGCACTGCCTTTGCTCCTCTCCCGTTTAGTCTCTTCTGTGTGCTACAATCTACCCACCTTCATAAGTATCATTGTGTGGATCTCTCCAGAGTCCTAGTGTGTTGGGCAATGTAGTCTTTGTCATGTTATGGATGTTTTACTCGCTGTAGATTGAAGGGGAGAGACAAAGAACTCTTCTCATGCTGCCATGATTATGATGTCTCTCATGGTTAAGTTTATGTTTTGCCTAGCATTATTAGGAATCATACATCTTATAATTCCTCCTGTAATGTCCTTGTTCTCCTTCTCCACTTTAGGAACTACATACAATTCAGTTCAGATATAATCTTTCCTATGAAACTTTCAATGACTTCTTCAGTTAGAGATAACACTCCATCCTAAGGGTTCCCACTATGCTTTGTAGGTAGCATCTATCTCACTGTACTGTCTCTAATTGCTCATGTAGCTGTCTTTTTCTATAGTCTGTGAGTTCCTAGAGGGCAGGGGCCTTGCAATATTTACATAGTGTCTTCTGTGCCTTCCATGAGTGCCTGGCACACACAATCCCTCAAATTCTTTTTGCCAAAATAACAATATCAGCATCCTGTTTCTTCAAGGCTCTTGCATTTGGCTGTAACACCTTCTCCTACTCTCCATTAATATCATTCACTCCCTTATTCACTGAAGATATGGCAACCAACTTAGAATTTCTTTCCACCCTAAGGTTTGCCATCATTCTGGGGGACGTAGATGTCTGCCTAAATAACACATCTGATACTATATCCTTACTTCTTGACTTCCTTTTTTCTAATGACCTAATCTAATCCATCTCAGCCACTCACTTTCATGGTCACACCATAGTCCTTGTCATCACTCACAACGATTCCATTTCTAAAACCATTAATTCAAATACTCTACACTGAGATCACAATTTCTATCAGCTTGCTTGTTCAACTCCACCCACTACAATCATCTTTGACTTCACTGGGACCACCAGTTCACTGACCCCTATACTTTTCTTTTAACTTTCCTCCTCTTATTCAGTTTTAGTACATGATCAACACTTGTCTCAATACCTTAAACTCCCCTAACGTTCTGGTTAGCAATCCCTCTAGTTAATCCTGGATGAAAACAACATTCTTTATCGCAGCACCCCAATAGCCAGGAAATACCTGAGACATTCTATTTACTACAAATTCATCATAACTAATCTCAAGTGGGTCCCTACACTTCCTAGCAATCCTACCCATATTTTTTTGGTCCATTCACTCTACAATGACTATTTTAAACCTTTGTCTGCTTTCCTAAAACATCTGACCTCCTCTTCCTCTTCCTTTCTCTTTTTCAATTTCATGGAGAAAATAAAAAAATAAAACAAAAATAATCAGATGGAAACCATCATCTTTTTACTACCAGGAATACAAATTTACTTACATCACCCATCTTCCTCTATTAATAAAGTTACAATATAAGAAATACCCCTACACATATCTGAGGTTAATCTTTCAACTATGTTTTGGATCCCATGATTTTCTGCCTTTTTAGAATCCTTTCTATACACTATTCCTTTACCCTAGCATTGTCAATCTTTTAAATGGATGTTTCTTATTGGTTTTTAATCACGCTTGAGTCATTTTCATTGACAAGACAAACAAAACATCCTTACTACAAAGTTCACTAGGAGCACTCTCTCTCCAGCTGCCTCAGAGCCAAGCTTTTAGAAATGTTCCTACTCACTATCTCCATTTCTGCGTGCCACACAATCCCAGTTTGATTTCCATTCCTATCAGTCCACTAAACGCTGTCACCAAGAACACCAATTATTTCTAAATAATTGAATCCAACAGGAATTTTTCAGACTTGATTTTACTTGAAATCTCAGCAACATCTGACACTGTTGACCGCTTCTTCTTGAAACACTTTTCCCTTGGCTTCCATGAGAAAACTCTCTTGGTTTTCCTCCTTCCTGTCTAGTCACTCCATGTTGGTCTTCTTTGAACGCCCAACCGTCTCTAATCAGTCATGAAACGTTATCGAGTTCAAGAGGCAGTCCTAGGCCAGCTCTTTTTTTCACAATATACTTTTTAGTTCTAAGTGATCTTATCTGTGTATATTATTTTAATTTGCCACCTAAACAAGGATGACTAAAAAATTTCTACCTTCAACTGAGATCTTTAGCTCCAGACCAAAGTGTGCAACTGCCTACTTGACATTT